AACATTATATAGTTTAATAGCTATGATACTGTTTTTGAAATCAAATCTTTGCATAGCTATGACAGGAATCACTGGCATCTAACAATGCCTCGCAAAAACAGTAAACTTAAAAAATAAAGCATATACATAAACTGAAATAGAAAATAAAACAGTTATCAAATAAGCATGTGTCCTATTCTGTGTCCTAAACTCCTGAAACATTGGTGCCTCATATTTTAGAGCAGTAAATGCAAATTGGAAAAGAAAACAATCAAAACTAGATGTAACATCCTTTGTAATCGTTAAAAATTTCCTAAGTACCTGTAATTTAATTACACATTTTTTCTTAGTAACTGTCACAGATTACAATTACATTTATTTTGCAATTAAATTACGTAATTCTGTTACATGTAACTAGTTACTCCCCAACACTGTGTGAGCCTGTCCATGTGCTGGGGATAGGGATCCTTGACAGTGACTTTAAACATATATGAGGAAAATTAATAATCTCTCTCTCTCTCTCTCTCTCTCTCTCTCCCTCTCTCTCGCTCTCAATCCTCTTTTTTCTAAGAGATGTAATGGAGGGTGTGCAGAAAAAAAAACATTCCATCAGTTTGCTCTCTCGTTGATTACACCTCTCTGAAAAGTAAGCTTGAAATGAAACAAGAAATGACATGGGAGTGAAGGCTGGAGGAAAACTGGAAGGAAAAGATGAAGGAATGCCAGACAGGATGCATATATTTTCTGTGGTCTCAACAAATGTTGTATTTTATTTTCCTTAAAAGCATTTGAAGCCAACAGTGGATGTACCAGTCTTGCTAACTCAATAAATAATTTCAGTAAATCGTTTTTTATTAATCAGTATCAGTTGATTTTGGATATTTAATTGTGCTTATATTCTATAATAATTTGTATCTCCTATTTTTTTTCTCTTAAATAACTTTAAGAGAAATACTTAACTCTTAAATAACGTTAAAGAGTAATCTTTATAAACACAGGTATTTACTTATACAGTTAAATGTAATCTTAGAAAATATCTAAATGAATATCCATTTCTCCTAATGTACATTATAATGTTGTGATGCCTGCATTTTCAGTGTTTTATTTTTAATTTATTTAATTTACAAATAATATATCATTTTGATATTATCCGTTCACTGGTTGGAGGCCATAACATTTCGAACAATTAACAATTATTGGCTTATATTGATTTTGTATAGAATTTTAATATTGGTCAATGCAGTCTTTTCCTATAAGCTTATATTTTATTACAGCATGGAACAAAAGTATATATGTATTGTATGACAGTATATAATGTTGAATTTAAAAATAAGAATGAAAATGGAATAGAATAGAATTATACAAATAATAAAAGCAACAACCAAGACTGAGGGTTTATGGATGCATAACAAGCCTTAGTTTCACATATAACAATCCTTTAGTTTCCAACAAATTTCGGAAAGCATTTGGAATGTGAAGAAGAGGACTTTCCTTTTCCTTCCAACCATTTAACTGAGAGCTTTTATTTCAGACCAATATAACACCTTGTTCAACCTAGAGAGTGTTGGACTCCAGCATCTATTGTCTTTTTCTTGTTCTTTCACTTTTCCTTCAATCCATTAAATTGAATCTTTTCACAGTCCCTCAAAAGGCTCCATTCAACTCTAAATTTGAAAGTCCCTACTGTTTGAAAGCATGATGTGCACTTTACAGCTAGTTACCATGGAAACCAGGTGATTTAAATGGAAACTCTGGATTGGGTTTGAAAGCTAAGACTGATTGCATATGTTTTGATTTTGCTGACATTGTGTTTGTATGTTGTGTATGTGTGTCAGTAAGGTGGCAGTTGGGTGGAAATACAATAAGTGTGTGTGTGTGTGTGTGTGTGTGTGTGTATGTGTGTGTGTGTGTGTGTGTGTATTTAGGTGTGGTGTGGTATTCTGTTTTGTCCTGCTCCACAGGGTGGGACTCTGGTTTTATTTTAGTTGGCCACTTGCTGTTGGTTGATCAGAGCATCAGAGTAGAGAAAAGGATCAGTGAAGCTCTAAGTGTGTTTACAAGAGCATCCATCAGCCATGTGCTGAAAGATATTTGTGTGCAATAAATGAGCACACAAATACCAGCTATGATATTCTACCTCTATCCAAATGTATTAAAATATCTATCCACAAAAGATGTACCTGTGGCAAGACCAAAAGCCATATAAATGTATTCATTCAGTTTTTAATTCTAAAAAAATGTACACAATGTACTCTTTTAATTTGAAGGAATTTTCTGTATTGATTTTTTACAGGTGTGTTTACCTGTTTCATTATTTTGAAGTTTTCACTTCATTGCGTTGTGCTTTAGAGTTAATGGACATTTTTCTAAAATTAATGGATAATGTCCTGGTGATGAGCTGCCAGTACCTTTTCTGTTATTTTACAGATTTATTTCTTATAGTATATTACATTTGTGTGTGTGTGTGTGTTTTCTCATTTGTTTATAAATGGGGCAATAGATTTGCCCAGTCGCGAATTATCCAGTTTTAGAAACAAAAATGTTCCTAATCAGCAAAATGTACAATTTATATTATATATGCCATATGCATGTTGTAATTTCAATTTCATGTTGTATAGGATTCAGTAAGAAAACATAAAGTCAACCAAGACCTACAATTTAGCATGGACACCTGAAATTATTTTTTAATGCTCTGAATTTATTCAGCTATTTCTGCAAATGCAAATATAAATCTTTACCCCGTGGGCGTCTCAGAAAGTTCTTGAAAGCCAAATGAGCTCTGATAAGATCAGTTAATTAGAAAATCAATAACAATTTCAGAATGCATTGTTTAAGAGTAGGCCCACCTACAATATTAAGATTAGAAATTAATCATGGTTAGAAAAAAATGGCCAGATTCTGGTTAATGACAACATTGACATGTTGGTGATTATAGCAGTCGTGACAACTATCATTTTCAGCAGCTCAATCTAAAACTGTTGTCACTGCGGTCATTAAACACGGACAAAGCAGTGGCACACATGCAGCTCATTGCAGCAGTTGGTGCAGGGGAAGCCTTTTATAGATGTGAGGGGATAGTTAATGTAATCGACACACTCTTTGGTTTATCTTGCTGTCTTTGAGGTGGGAGCTTTGAGGAAACCCTGCCGTACCGACGCCAGGTGCATTAGGGTGTGTTGATAGGGCTTACATTGAATGCACAGCATAATTTACGACTGCCAACCGGTCAGCATGTGGGAAGTTTGGCACAGACCACTCAGCTCAGGAGGAGGTGTCATTCTGAAGTACTGACACATTTAATGGGTCGTAATTTATAGTCCTGCCTTGTTTATTTATTTACATATTCAACCTCATCTTTAAAAGTTACAATTGTGAAACATGAAATGAAACCATGTGCTAACTGTGCTTATATTGTGCGTATCTCTCATTTTTGTATATTGACCATTTCATTGAAGAACAGGTTGCTGTAGCATTGACATTTTCTTAGAGGCCAGGGAGGTAGTGGATAGGAAAATAATCAAAACTTTGGGAAAGCTTATTTTAGAGCTTAGTTAGCACTATGTTTAATTTTTGACCAGAATGAAAACGAGGATGTGAGAGAGAAAAGTTCAGTGTGTTCAATGGATTGTATGTTAACAACATGTGAAATGTCTAGCTGAGAAAATATCTTTCTAAAACACTTTCTGTAGACAAAAACCATAAAACAATTTTGAAAGTTGTGAGTTGTCAAAATTGCATCTAATCTAGAATATATACAGTGCAGAATACTAAGAATATATTGGACGATTTGAAGAGCCCTGATCAGAGAGGGGGCCTGACGCAAACACCCTGCAGGAGGTTATATTATCAAATATTATCAATATTATCACAATGTTCCCACGTATGTTAACTGAATATTATAACAAATTACATTTTTCATTTTATTTTTATTTTTGACAGGGCTTAGCCATTAAAAAAAATCTTAGCCATTAAAAATGTATTATTAAACAAAAAAATCTATATGACCTTGTTCTTCAGAGTTACTTGTGTTTTCGCCTCCCTTGAGTGAAATAAAATGGACGAATCACGTGACATGAGGCAGCGCCTCCACATCACTGTGATTGGCTGCCTACCCTGTCAATGTTATAATCCCGCCTATTGTGTGCTCAGCAGCTACAAACAAACTAGTGAAAATGCATGGAGTAATTAAACCAGGGGTGCCCAAACTCGGTCCTGGAGGGCCGATGTCCTGCAGAGTTTAGCTCCAACCTGCCTCAACACACCTGCCTGGAGGTTTCTAGTATGCCTAGTAAGAGCTTGATTAGCTGGTTCAGGTGTGTCTAATTGGGGATGGATCTAAACTCTGCAGGAGTTTGGGCACCCCTGAATTAAACTCACCTACTTGGATGTAACCACTTTTTAATCATGCCTGAATTGAAATTAACTTAATGTTACTTCCTGGTTTAAGTTATAATGAGACCTTCATGATCGGCGTTTACCGATAAATTACGCTTAATTCAGATGCTCTCTAAATGATAGTAAATACCAGTTACCGCATTGGAAGTTGCACATGAACTACCCCTCAAATCATTAACAATACAATATACGCATATTGTAATTTTTACATGGAGGACAGTGAATAGAGTGGACAAACCCTAGCTGTTCTCCCCGACCACAAAGTACTTGAACTTGACGCAATTAAGCGCGTGAAGGCTGCATTATTGACTACTGGTCCAAAAAGCATTAGGGTTAGGTGACCATAATAATAGCCAAATACTAGTTAAAAACGCTAAACTTGAGACTTCTATGTAACTTGTTTTACATAGTATATTAATGTATAAAAATATTGTATCGGTTACTTGTAATTACTTAAGCATTTTAATTCAGAAACTTCAAGTGGAACTGGAACATGAATTTATATTGTATAAACAACGGAAGAGGGAGACTTTTGCTTCCTGCACTAGCTACAAATCTTGTGTGATAGTTTTTAAGAAAGGAAGGTCTAGAAAGTTCCCCTGAAGAGAGCTTAATTTCTTCGGTCCCGTTAGTGTGAATGACACGCGCTTTGCTGGAGAGCCGTTTGGTTTGTGACGCACGGGTGACCATTGAGCTGCGCGAAGTGCTCAGTATCAGTTCAGTTCAGCTCAGAAACACGTACGCTAGTAATGTTGGGCTCAGAGGACCACGGAGAGACTCGCAAACGAAACGGTACCGGTAAGTGCTCCTTTCATTCACTATACTTTCATTATGACTGTCGGTTTAGATTGAAACGGCAGGTGTTCGACCAAAACCGAAAGGAGGATAAGTTTGGATGCGCGAGTGACATGCTGTCAGACGAACAAATGATTTATATCCGTGTCATCAAATACCGACTGAAATGAACTTATCTTGCAAGAATGTTATAAAACTGTGTATAAAAAGTATAACGGAGATATTGTAGAGGGAATTAATTTGAATTTTAAAGCCATTTTTGTCGTTCTGCTCTGTGATAAAGCATTGCTACTTGTTTACTTTGCTGTCAAAACAGGCAATATTCCTCTGGCATCCTGAAAATGGATGAAACTTCAGAAATGCCGTGTGAGAGCTCATTGCTTCAGACAATAACCCCGTCATGATGAATGTGCCTTGACATTTATCATATTTTTCAGTTCATTGATTTTATTACAAGCACATTAAGGGGAAATAGAAGGAGAGTCTGGGTTTCCCCATCATAACTTGGAAAAGTATAACCTGTAGTTTTTTATATATGCTTTTTATGTGTAATATTCTCTGACCATACTGTAGTTTATCATTATTGAACTATATTTGCTGCCTTGTGTGTGTTTTACTGAAAACATTTAGGGTAAAGTAAAAAAAAAAACAGCAAACACATTCCATTCCATTCCAGTCCTTAAGTTTGGCATATTGGTTTGTTCGCTGTGCTGCAAATCTGACATACATGACATGCTGCAAACGATGACCCAACAGCAGTTTAAACGCTTATCTTAAAAATGACAACATGATTATTTCATCAGGCATTTTAGTAAATGTGCTTAAAACGGGAGTTGTACTTCTTGTCCTGTTTGAAATATCCATCAGGATGTGCTACCACCATGGTTGTGAGATGGAACTAGCCCACAACCCTACCTCAACCCCTAAAACATGCATGAGGTGGATATGTATATAGTGTGGGTTGGTCATTCTAGAGATAAGTCCATTTCACCGGTTTGGTCTGAACTGTTGTTTGCATGTTTTCTGTCTTAATTTCGAGTTGATTTGGCATCCAGTAGATACACAGGATTGTCCACTTTCTAAGAGCAAAAAAAGACTTAGACTAAGAGAGTCATTCTTCTGAAGAGGGATTTAAATATGATCATTTTCTGGTTAGCTTATTCACTTTAAATGTGTATTTGGTGTCGTTTTTGAATGCCGGATGACAGTGCGCTCTCAGTTTTGGTATTTGATCTTATTTAGATGAATAAGTTTGGCTTTGAAATATTCACTTTTAGAGAGATGTCCATGCCTTAATATATCTCCTTTACATTTCAAATCTTTCCTTCGCTCATGATCCTTAATCATAATTTGAAATTGCTGAACACCAATTTTCCACATTTCACAGTGCGAGAGTGAAAGCTCGTTCTGCATCGCATAGCAGATGTGTGGATCAGAGATGCTCATCTGTCTCTAGAGGCAATACGAGAGATGATGCATAGACTCAGCCAGTCTATTTGTCCACTCTGACGGGTCTGATATTGACAAATGAAGACCAATTTAAAATGTATTCTATGCCTTTTTTTTTAACATTGCTTTTTTCCCACCTTTTTCATTATGTGCGAAACATGCAAAAGTTGATGTGTATTTCAATGTCTGTCATGGGTGTGTTAAAAATAAAGGGCTTTTTGAAAAGCTTTGTTACATAAAGTATCAGGAAGGAAACTGCTTACAATTTAAAGCAATGTTTGGCCTATTTCAAGCACAGACTTTTTGAAGAACACAATAACTCTAAATAACATAAAACACCTCTTCTCCTCGAGCTGCGTGACTCCTAGTGAATGCCACATTGTGATCTAAGAGAGGAAGTGCTTTATTCTGTAAGACCAAGGCCATTGCTTCAAGGTGAGCACTAAGAGGATGATTAAGGATCGACTCAAATAATCAATGTCTAATTTACTCTTGCGGTTTTATTATATAGATTCTCAAAGATTTATTTAAACCAACCACTTTCCCAATCCACAGCGAGCGACATTGGTCTTTCCGTACTGGATGTCGATGGTCTTCTTGTGTTCTGAATAGGTGCTGCGGCCAGCGGCACAAACAGATAAATCACACCGGGAAGAAATGCTCTCAGCTGGGCCAGGATGATGTTGACGCACTGCCTCTTTTGCAGTGATCATGCCTATGTGCACTTTGCTTTGACCTCTTCTGTAGATTCAGTCTTGCTACCTGTCTCAGTTATGAAATAGGACTGATTTACAAATACAAATATGCTTTTAGAGGCACTGATTTGTTGGCAAGGGGTTATAAATGTCCAATTTCCAATAGGCATACAGACCACACAAGTGATGCTGTGTAGAGAATGCCAGCTATTAGGATTTAGCGTGAAGAGGCAGCTGTTGATTCTCTTGGCAGTACTGGCTTGTGGAAAGGCTGGATTTTCTCATATTCTCTTCCAGTCAGTGTATAACACTGGAGATTTGATATTAGACTAGATATATTTTGGCAATGTATCTTTGGTATGCTTATTTATGTTTATGACATTCTGCCTGCATCTCTTTTTAAAGGATTTAGATGCAGTACATCTATCATTATCTTCATTCAGGTAATATTGAAAGGGGCTATGTATCAAAAAATATTACAGTCTGAACTGATCGTTCTCTTACTTGCCGGGACAGTAAATCATTGTTTACAGAGTTTCATGGCTTCTCCTCCACAACAGCTGTTTAGTTGATTGGTTAGAGAAAACATTCAATTTCTGCCCATTTAACAGAAAAAGACATGTAACCAGTGCCATATACTTGTTTTGCTTTTATTTTTTGTTATTTTGGTCTACAGAGAATTTCTTCAATGTACCGTAAATTTGGTTAATCTATTCTTTTGTTACTTTCATTTTAATGATAATATAAATGGCCGTTATTTCAGTACTATTGTGTCTAAATAAATTAAAGTTCTAAATGACTAAAATACTAAAGTACTCACTAGGGCTGGAAAATCGATGAATCGCGATTAATTGATTTTACAGCCCTAGTACTAACATTAAAAACACAACACTGAAAACCAAAATTAACCATTTTAAACGCTGCACTGTAAAAAATTATTTGTTGGTTTAACTTAAAGTTAGTAACTTGATTGCTTTAAAATTTTAATTTCATTGAAACTAATAACTTCAGTTATTACAAAGATAGTGATTTTGTTGTTTAATCTAATATTTTCTTAACTTAATGTTGTCTAGTTGTCATAACTTTGGATTAAATATTGTATCAACTTATTCAAGCAATCAAGAGGATTAAATACTTTCAAATTTAAGTTCACTCAACTACATATAGTTTTTTATAACAATAACCTAAAAAGTTTACGTGGTTGCCTTAAAATTATGAGTTAAATAAACTTCAACACAAGTTAACATGACAAACGTTTTGTTAACTAATTATCCTGGCATAACAGAGAGCACAAATAAACCATAATTTAAACATTCATGTTTATTAAAACATTCACATATGTCAGGGCTCTCGTGGGAGACAGAGATGATTCAAATAGCATTCAAAAATAATTCAATAATAATCCAAGGAGAAAAGGGATATCCAAGAACACACAGGGAAACACGAACAGCACACATAACAAAAAACAATAACCCGCAAGGAAGGACTAAAAGGGAGCAACTTAAATACACAGATCAAATGAGGATAATTATCGAACACAGGTGAACAGAATGAACTAATCAAGGGAACTTAGGAAAACTGGGTCAAGGGACTGAAACAAGGCAGGAGAACCGAAAAACACAGAAAACAAAGTCCAACTGTAAGAGTGCTCCCCCCTCCGGCCAGGCGCAACCTCGCTCTGTAACGAATCAACAGAAGGAGGAACTGAGGGGGACTTAGGAGGAGGATAAAGGAGTGGAGCAGGGATGGTGACAAGGGACGGCAAAGGGCATGCAGGAAGGCAGGCAGTCGACCAGGGCAGCGACGATGGAGGGAGGAGCCATGGAGGGATCAGGAGGAACCATGGCGGACCAGATGGAGGGAGGAGCCAGGACGGAGACAGAAAGAACCAGGGCGGACCAGACGGAGGGAGGAGCCAGGATGGAGACAGGAAGGACTTGGAGTAGGAGGAGCTAGGCGGGACCCAGACCGCAGCCAACATGACTGCCCATGGTGGAGCCGATGGAGGGAGGAGCCAAGGTGGAGGAAGGGCTGACAACTCCAGGGGGGCGACTGACAGCGGCAGAGCAGGTGGGAGAGGAGCCCAATGCGGAGACAGAGAGCCGCAGAGCCAGGGCGACGGGAAGGATCCGGAGGGCCAAGGCAGAGAAGATGGCTCAGGCGACCGAGGTGTATCCGGAAGGGATCCGGAAGGCCGCGGTGGAGCCGGAGCAACAGAGGACCAAGGTGGAGCTGGAGGGAGGGAGGAGCCCAACGGAGCCGGTGGGACAGATCGACAAGGTGCAGCCAGAGGAGTGGAGTCCTGAGGCCATGGGGGGTCGACGACTGACCAAGGTGGAGCTGGAGGGACAAGGGAGCCCAGCGGAGCTGGTGGACTGACGGGCCACGACGGAGAGGAGGGAGATCCATGGTGCAGCTGCTGGGTCGATAGGCCGAGGCGGAGTCCGGGACTCAGAGGCTGGTGGTAGAAACAAGGGATCCTCCAGACACGACGCCAATGGAGACTGGCAGACCCGCGGCAAACCCACATTACAGATAGTGGGCTGAGGATGAGCTGAGGGGCTGGCAGGATACAGCGGCAGAGGGGCAGAAGATGACAGCCGACTGTTGAGAGGAGGTGGAAGAGGGAGCCTGGGTGGAAATTTGTGACTGGCAGTGAGTTCTGGGATGGTGTGTGCTGCCCACACACACAAAATGGTGACACTCATCACAGGGAGCGCCACGGACAGGGGAACGACCTCCGTGGTTGTAGCAGGACAGACTGACAGTACTGGGCAGACGAACGGTTCATAAACGGCCTCCTCGGCCGTATCGGGACAGGCAGAGAGTTCAGAAGACAGGAGAGAAGGTATGTCGGAA